CCCCAAAACCCCAAAACCCCAAAACCCCAAAACCCCAAAACCCCAAAACCCCAAAACCCCTAATAAAAAAATTATGTTTGAATTATATAATAATAAACTATCATGAATTCTACTATCTTCGGGTGCAACGAAAATCTTGTCAAAGCTAACTGTACTTTGCAGGATTGGCAGCAATACTGTCACAGTTTGACACTCGATAAGAATTATACTGCAGGTGCCATTTTTGGTACAGATGCTTCTTTTTGAGCCGACCTCGGCTCATTCACCTTAAAGGAAGAATCTCCAAAAGCGGCTCCGATCGGTGTATCTTCTAAGCATACCCGGAATGAGTTCTCTTTCGACCTGCAGGACTTTGATTCATGAGAAGGCTATGATCCTCAGAGGATTTTTGATTCCCACAACTGTTCAGGATCTGGCTCAGATTTTGGAAGGATAAACGAAGATGATAGTACTAAGATCCAAAATCCTACCAAGTCCATTGAGATGGATTCTGAGCCAAGCCTTTTAAAGGAACCCAAAACTGACGATGCTAAGGAGCATAAATCAAAGACTAAGAGACAAGTAAGATGGAGAAAGTCTGACGACAAGCTTTTGTTCAGAGAGCTCATCTTTATTACAAGGAAATTTAGCCTCACTATGGAGGAATTCATCGAATTTGGCAAAGCTGGAGCTAACCACGTTGCTTGTAATGAACTATTTGAGAAGATCAACTGGAAGGGCTCTATTACTTCTTTAATGGACAGGATCTGAAAGTTAATCTCAAATAAGGAGTACCTATCATATAGAGACTTCAAACAGCTAAGAAAACTCTATTATCAACAGCTTAGGAGAAAGAATGTTGACTGGGATTCTTTACTATTCGAATTTCCAGGACGCAGTCTTGATTACATCAAGGAGGTCTGCTTTAGCTTCCCTCGTAGAGAATCTATCCTTGAGAGATCAAGTGAAGACTCTTCGTAAATCAGATATATTAATTCTACTCCGCGGGCAACTTCAAGCCACTGCTTCCCGCTTGAGACAAGGGGCTTCCATTGCCTTTTTACTACCTAGGCCACACCCTTGCTCTATTCAATAAAAATCAGCCGGCACGGGGTTTTGGGGTTTTGGGGTTTTGGGGTTTTGGGGTTTTGGGG